GGCATATTAAATCTATTAAACATATCTGGATGCTCCAGTATTAAATTTTAATAGTTCTACCAAAAATTGCTGGGCTAAAATTGGGCTAGTTATATTATTAATTAATTAAATGATTTAATACTTTGTTGTACGTATGCCATGTTAATAAATAAATAGTTAAGATAGATTATACTTGGAGTTGGTTCAGTATCTCTGTTAGATTAACAGTTATCTGTTCTCGAAACAGCAGGACAATCGATTATTTTGTTAAGATCTTTAATTTCTGATTTTGAGAAAATAAGGACACTAGAAGGTCACTCCTAATAATAGTCAATAGTCTCAATAATCGAAAGCTGGACTCCATTTAGAGAATTACCGTAAGGAATTTCGCAAGCGAATGATCGACAGAAATCTGATAAAGTAAATCTCTAATTTATAAAATGAGTAATATAGTGTTTCAAAATTTAATTTAAAAATAAAGTGGTTTGCGAGTAGAATTACTTTGCAAGACAAGTCGTCTTTCCTTCCAATTGAATGGATTCATTATTTTTTTATATATATAAATAAACATGATTTTAAATCCTGACTGCAGTTTAAACCATGTTACTTGTCTGAATTGCACAGTTTAGAGTTTCATATGGTATTTTGGCATTGACAGTTTTTGGCTTTTATCTGATTTGCAAAAACACTATTTGTACAAATGGTGTTTACAGACAAATTATTGTATTATAAGACTTTCAGGTAGTATATATTTATTGTTAAAAAAGCATTTTTCTTGAAATTTTTTAAACTTGTGAATCCTTTTAGTGTTACAGACAATAGAAGCAGTACTTAGAAATGCAATTTGTGGCCCGCCAATTCAGAAAACCGTGTAGAATATTGCAGTTTATTTTACCAGTTAATTTTAAAATGTGCCAAAATAAAATTTTTGCCATAATCTATCTCATTTTACTTTAAGTCTAACAAAGTGTCTACGGTCGGCATTTTTCAGTTAGGGTGCTTCATATTTTTAGCACCTAACTTTCTTGCAATAAATCGAAAGAGGAGTGGTTACTTTTATTTGAAAAGTAAATCGAAACGTCTTTGGATCATAAGAGAATTACTCGATTTTTCAGAGAAAAGTTAAAATGATAAATTGTATTTATGACCATCAATCATTTGTTCTCTCTGCTGACCTTTAACATAACTCATCCATTTAATGAGATGTGATAGAGGTTGGTTGAATAATTCAATCAACATTTGTCAAAGTTAACAGTAAAATAAATGAGGTGGTTGGGTTTTTCTTTTTCTTTCTTTTTTATTTCCTATTTTATCTTATCATTAAAGTCACGACACAGTTCTTTTTTGGGTTCAGCGATAAACAAGTACCATCAGAAAAAACGTTATTGAGGAGTGAGGATTTTAAAATTCTTTAGAAATTTATTTTTTTACGAAAATGTCAAAAGGACAAATTTATTATTCTGATCCATAATGGTCTGCACAACTTTTTAACCACATTTGGAATAAAATTAATGGAAAGAATGCGTAGAAAATAATCTCATCTAGTTTTAAATGCATTAACGACGAGTATAGATATGCATTAAAATTGATATTTGATAAAGATATTTTGCTGTGTCAAAGAATACATTACATGTAAATTAATTACAAAATTAAATTTAAAAAAACTTAACAACGGCCTTTATTTTAGTTTTGTAGAAGTAGTCTGTCATAGTTTAATTCTGATTAGTGGCTGTTATATAGGTGTATTCAACCAAAGCTTTTTCATGGGACCACATACATGCATAAATATAGTTTGTCTGTATTCTTAATCTGGTATTCACAATCAAATACTATCTAGTATATGAGACCTTGTATAATGTCGAGTGTTGTGCAATATGGATTTTGTATTTGCTTGGTTATTCACATAAACAATTTTAAGCAGAGAATATAGTTGTCTTTGCCAATAGCGCTTATCTAACAAGCACTATTCTATGTAATCTGACAAGCGGAATCAGATAGTTTTTTATTTTTAAGTGTGGGATGTGTTTGGAATGGAAGATTGTGTGATTTAATTTTGGAATGTGGTCCTTCAGAGAATTTTGATTTGTATAGTGATTAAAGAAGGATTCAACTGCTAGTGCAGTGGAAGGGAATTGAAAGTTTAAAAAAATAATAATCTTTGTTAGTAAATCTGAACATTTACTTATGTTCAGTGAAGATTTAAGTTCTGGAAATGCTTTAAAATGTGTTTTCTATTTATGGAAAAGTACAGACTGAGCAGATTCAAGCATGAAATAATTGTTTCCTGAAAGATGCACTTGTCAGAAGTTAAGAGATCTTCAACTTTTACATAGCCAACACACCATGCGCAATCATCTCTGGATGTTTTCATGTAAGAAAATAAAGTTTACCTATTTTTCACCAATTGTAGTGCCATCTAAGACTAAAGTGATGGTGCTATCTTGTGGCCCCTTGAAGTCTAAAATTTTTGGTTTATAATGTTATGAGTTTGATCACTTCTCACAACCCTTACTCTGTAACTGAATGACCAGAAATTGTCACTACATTTACCTGTGCCAGGACTAGATGTTGAAGTATTTACCATTTAATTTTGTGAGTGCTTGAACTTTGTGATATTGTCTGTGCAATATGAATTTAAAAACTTGCATCACATAAGAAGTCATTACTGATGAGTAAAATGTGCAGGTGGAGTATTGTTATATGGGATTCTGTTGTTTTTGGATGAATCCAAATTAATCTGCACAGACTGATGGGAAAATCCTGTGTTAATTAGGTGTAGAAAAGATTCTTATAACCAGGATTGCTTGATACGGCAAAGTTTCTGACAAGTTGGATGATGTGTGCGCATCCAGTAAAATAGTGATGGACTACACTTTATAAATGAGTCTGTGAATGTAGAACGTACAAAAATCTGTCAAGCTGATTCAACAATTGAGGAACAATTTTGTGGTACAAAATCCTGTAATAACTATCCAAAACTCTTTTTGAGTCTGCAGATAATTTTGGCTGCTTTTTATCTGTTGTCTTTGGGTTTTAATGGTAAAAGCAGTCGATTTCATTTTAAAATTATCTGCCAGATCAAAGAGATCATTGGCTGAATTCAGTTGTTTATTTTCATGTTGTAGAAAACTCTGCACTTTCCGGGAAAATGCTGTACTGTTTAATGAGACCACGATGATGAGTAAAGTATAATGTGCCCTTTTCTCGATGGTTTATTAGCATTGTTGTCACGTAAACTGATACATTCAATGTAGTTTAATACTACTGGTGATGCTGTGTTGTGAAATAAAATTAAGTTCAATATAGTGTTATGTTTAAAAAATTAATTAATTTTTTGGTTTATACTCCTTGATTTCTATGTATTACATATATTGTTGAAATTATAGTTTAATTATGCTACTTTGGAATCTCTCGAACACTTTTCGGTATGTATTATAGGCGATGAAATTTTCAGGCCCACTATTATACATAATTATTCAAATTTCTATTAAGTAATTAATCAATCAATTTAGAAATATTTGGAACAGAAATTTAGTTTGGAGCAGAACTCCAAATCTCGACCCTTCAATAGGCAGATAAGTTCTAAATTAGTGCCAAATTTCTTGGTAATTTATGACATAAATACAGCTATAATTTGATTATGAATAAATGTAATTAATTGTTTTATTTACTTATTTTAATTTAAGAATATTAATTTTTTGTGTTTTTCTGCGTACACAAAATTTTTTTCATAGCTTGACTTCTCCCTAGTGGTGCGAGGGTGTATCCAGACTAATGGTTTTGTATGACCATCTAAACAAAATTATTATAACCTGTACAAAATTCATTTGTGAAATGCAATATATTCAAATTTTAGTTTTCCTGAGAGGGAAAGTTGTTTCTGTGCTGATTAAATTTCCATATTTTAGCACTTACGTTTAGAATAGTGAAATTTGATGCGCAACTTATTCAATTCATTAAATTTATTTTGAAAATCTTTAGTAACATTAATGCTCGGAATGGCCATTTTGGCTAAAATAATTTGTTTCTCTTGCCACTTTCTAAAAGTTTGATTTTTGTATAAAAATAATTATTTTTGTCATCTGTGCTCAATATACAAAACAGAAGTTAACAATTGTAAGAATTAATTTAATTTCATTAAAAGAACTTTGGATTTGTAGTGTGTTAGAACTGTATGTTGTCAACCTTTGTTAACCCCTCTTTCACATATTAGAAAGCTACGACAAAAATTGGGAATATGTCTGGTTCTTGAGAGTTACAATCTGTTTGTCAAGAAATGTGGAATTTAATTATGAATAAAACTATTTCTAGAATGAAACATTTGCTATTGTTTCACATCAAATGTATTTAAGTTTCAATTAGTTTTTACTCTTGTTTCATTACCAAATGAAAAAATGATTAATTTAATTTGTCTAATATGAAATTTTGGAGACTAGTAATAATAATATGGGCTTAAAATTGATTTTAAATATTAACATGCTTTTATGATATAATTGTTTATTTGGAAATAATTAAGTAAACTGTCATAAGCTCATTGTCATAGATTGAAATTAGGACCTTGGAAATATAGGTTTTGCTATATAAAACTATGCAGAGGTGACTAAGAAAAGATTATGGCACTTTGTAGTCATAATAGAAATGTTTGGTTATAAATGTGAGGTTTGTAAAATAAAAACTTACTAGAAATATATGAATTTTGTTGTAATTATTGCATTGAAATTTGTGTTAAAGCTGTAAGATCTTGTAAAAAACTTAAAACACTGATTGTCACAGCATTTTTTTAATCTAGTGATTGTTGGTTGATATTTAACTGTAAAAAATATTATTAATTGGTTTTAGAAAAATATTTATTCTCTAAATTTGGTTTTTACCATCTACACAACATAAAATGAAATTTTCTACTCCATTTTTCTTTATTTTTTAAAATTTGATTAGTGTTTACTTGTGTTTATATTTTTCATATGAATACAATTCACAAAACTATCAGCATTTAATTTTTTGGATATTTCTTATATTTGCAGCAGCGCTGTGGTCTGAAACGAAAGTGTGACGAGCTAGACAATGCTCCTGCTGTTGCCCTACCATTGGTGGACTCGCAACAGCAACCAATCAAAAGGTCGGACAATACTACAGCTACTCATCACCATCATCACACGAATCAGAGACATCATTCGCATCATCGGCATCATACGACTACTACTGTTACTAACAGTACAGCCACAAGTACAATTTCTATCAGTAAAACATTTACAACTGCCACAACAACTATCACCACGGCTCCCACAACGACAAAAACAAGCTCTTCGAGCAGTGAGGGAGATTATCAACTGGTACAGCATGAAGTGCTGTATTCTGCAACGAATCAGTACGAAGTACTGGAATTTCTCGGGAGAGGGACTTTTGGTCAGGTTCGTATTGTTTGTTGTTAACTTCGTTGATATTTTTGAAGGAGCGATGTCATTCTTAAAGCTTAATATGTTTAATTTTAGGTGGTTAAATGCTGGAAGAAAGGGACCAATGAGATAGTGGCAATTAAAATCTTAAAAAACCACCCGTCGTACGCACGACAAGGTCAGATCGAAGTCAGTATTTTACATCGGCTTAGTCAAGAAAATGCAGATGAGGTGAGAAGACTTTCTTTTCAAGTTGTTACAAAAAGTTTCGGTATTATCATTTTTGATTGTTGAATATTTGTTTTCTAGCTCAACTTTGTACGTGCTTATGAGTGCTTCACTCATAAGAATCATACCTGTTTGGTATTTGAAATGCTGGAACAAAATCTTTATGACTTCTTGAAACAAAACAAATTTAGTCCTCTGCCTCTGAAATTCATCCGTCCAATCTTGCAACAAGTTTTAACAGCTCTCTTGAAGTTAAAGGTATTTTTGTATTTGTGGATTTAATAAATTCTGTTTGAGGCTGTTGTATTAACTTTTTTTCTTTTAAACAGCAACTTGGACTGATTCATGCAGATTTAAAACCAGAAAATATAATGTTGGTTGATCCGGGGAGACAACCTTTTCGAGTCAAAGTAATTGATTTCGGTTCGGCAAGTCACGTTTCAAAGGCTGTCTGTTCTACTTACTTGCAGTCAAGATACTACAGGTAATAGAAAAGTTTCATTTTGGAGATCAGTCTTATCATTTATATGAATATTTGGGTTTAATGCATAATCTGTTTCTCAGGGCACCCGAAATAATTTTGGGACTTCCTTTTTGCGAAGCGATAGACATGTGGTCCCTCGGGTGCGTGATTGCAGAACTGTTTCTCGGATGGCCTCTCTATCCCGGTTCGTCCGAATACGATCAAGTAAGAACATTCGGAGTTTTTAAACAAACAATTGCAATCTAACTGTTACTATTACTAATGTTGCTTCTGTTTTATAGATTCGTTACATAAGTCAGACACAGGGCTTGCCGGCGGAACACATGTTGAATGCGGCCACTAAGACAACCAGATTTTTTTATCGAGAAACCGATAGCAATTATCCATTTTGGAGATTAAAGGTAAAATTGAAAATTACATTTCCAATTTGGAATTTTGGTAGTTGGAAAGAAATACATTTTAATGAAATATAAATAAAATTTTATTTTCAGACACCAGAAGAACATGAGGGAGAAACAAATATTAAATCAAAGGAAGCCAGAAAGTATATTTTTAATTGCTTAGATGATATGGCACAGGTAAAAATCAGTTGTAATTGAGTGATTAAATTTGTGTTTAAAATTTTTGTCAGTATAGAGCGGGCAAATCCATGGGGTGTGGTGGGTGTGTATGCACTCACTAAAATCAAAATTCTAAGTAGAAGAGTTTTCCAGTACAAATCTAGATTTGTGAATATCAGTTTCAATCTGCAAACTGGATTATAATTTCTCCAGCAGGTAGCACCCTAAACTTGCAAATCACCCTACTGGAATAATTGTGACCTATTCTTAATGACACTTGTCTTATTACCTGAAGGTGTGCAAACATGGGCTGACTGTTAGCCCGGCCAACTGATGATGCAGACAGCCAATCAACCATTAGTCCACCAATGTATAGCTTGCACATGATTTAACCAGAGCTTATTCCGATTTAAAATGGTGACAAGTTATTGCTCTGGTGTCTGAATGAAAGCAGCAACAAAATACAGAAATCTGCTGCTGCTTTATATGCAATTGAGAAAGACATTTTGCTTTTTTGTGGCATGGTTTTTCTGAGAAAATGGTATGTGTTTGCTAACAAACATTGTCGAAATTCAACAAAGCAACTGTGATATGAAAATGTTGTACTAGTGTTGCCAGACCTGACACTAAAAATAGCACAAATTTTAATAATTATTCCATATTATACATTTGAATTAAAATTTCAGATAGTTTAGAAATTTATCAAAATAAACAAGCTTAAAATTTTTTTGTAATATTTGCTATTTTTTTGTCTTGATACTAAAAATAATTAAAGCACACCCCTAAATGAAATTCCTGGATTTGTGATGGTCATTATTGATATTTTAAAATTCTATATAGGTTAATGTCCCTACGGACCTCGAAGGAGGAGAACTTTTGGCCGAAAAGGCCGACAGAAGAGAATTCATAGATTTATTGAAACGTATGTTAACTTTGGACCAAGAACGAAGAATAACTCCAGGAGAAGCTTTAAATCATAACTTTGTCACGCTTAGTCATCTAGTGGAGTATGCTCATTGTAACAAGTAAGCTAGTTTGAAATATTTTTAATAATAAAATGGATTTTGTATTTTCATAATAACCATTTAAATTTTTTTTAGTGTTAAAGCATCTGTGCAGATGATGGAAGTATGTAGGCGTAGTAGACATAATTATGATCATAATGGTAACCAAATGTCTCTTGTCAGTAATTTTACTTCTTCGTCTGGAAATGTTGCTCTCACCTTCAACAATCAGCTAGGAAATCTGCCAAATCAGGTATGCTTAATCGTTGGTTAATTTATGGGTAAATTATGGCAAAAGTTTTTAAATAAAATTGCAATTTTTTTTTCTGTTTACAGTATCAGTTACAGCCAACTAGTTTTTATCAGACTGCTCATCAAGTTGCTGCTCCACAGAGAGTAAATTTGCCTCAGCAGCAATCTCAGGCAAGGGTTAATGGGGTTCATGCCGTTGCTGGAAATCAGTACACGGCAGCCGTAGCGAGAGCTACGGATCCATTCCAACACGTAGCTCAATCTATGTGTGTATCTTCAATTCTTTGCCCACCATATCAAGGTTTGATTTAATTTTTTAACTTAAAACAAATTACGAAATCTGTTGGATCAGATTATTAATTGGGGGTTTTGTTTTTAGGACTGAATTCTCCCGCAAAACACGTCGTGCCTGTTGTGGCACAAGCTGCACAACCTCAGGCACTCCAAATTCAATCATCTTTATTAACTCAGGTGATAATCTGTCGCAATTATGTTGTTTGCATTATGATTTTAAAAGACATAATGCAATGGTGTTAAAATCTGAATTTATATTCTATTGTAGGTTGGGACACAACAGTATGTTCCAGTGTCTGTTGTTGAACAGAATGGAAGGCAAATGCTATTAACTGTAAGTAACATAACTTAAATTAATTTTATTAAAAATTAAAGATAAATATGTGATGGTTTGTTATTTATATTATAACAGAATGCTGTTCAGTCTAGTTGGCCACCAAACAGACAAATGTTTCTTCCATCTTGGCAACAGATACCTACCCAAAGAGCCATTCAACAGCCGATCTTGCCTGATTCAGAACCATGGAGTAGACCTTTGGTTTTGGAGAGAGCTCTGCTTCCGGATCAGCCTGCAGTTATTCCAGTGGTGAGTGTTATTAATCTGTTATTTGAACTTACAAAACAGAGCTTTCACAAAAATTGTAGTGCTGTGAATTGTTTATGTGGATAATTTATTGGTAAAATATTCAAAATAATTTTTGACGGATATTAATGCCTTTAAATGTTAATTAGCAAATAAGGTTATCAATATGAAAATTTTTAACCTAGGAATTACATGATACTGCTGCAGTTTATGATCGTAGTAACCAACTAAATCCACTGCTTTCTCAACAGTCGACATCACTTGCTCCGGGTTTGCAACAACCTTGGAGTGTTGTAGCTGCCAATCCCGCTCACTGTGCCGTTCCGCCGAGTGGTCAACAGCATCGTCAGCAGCAGATGGGTTCATCATCTAAAAGACAGACTAGGATGAGGTTAGTGAGAAAAGCAATTGCTGCCAAAAACATTGATTTGTATAAACTTAATCTATCATATTTAATGTTCAGATCACAAAAAGAGAAGGAAAGTAACAGTATTCATTTGTCACCGGTTAAGAAACGAGTAAAAGAAAACACGCCACCAAAATGGGATATTCCCTCTCAGAACATTGTCACTTCGACAACTCAAAGCCAGAATTCTGTAGTAAATCCAAGTAGCCTGTTAATGTGTGCGGGCAGCCCATTATCGGGATCTAATATGCGATGGCATCCTCAGATAACCAAACACTCTAGGTAATTTATATGGATAAGAGAACATATTAATGTTTTTTTGTTAAAATAATTAATAAATAATTTGAAATATATCTTGAGTATGTGCTAAATGCATAATTAAATTAAATTTTCTATTTGTAGAACAAAGACAGTTGTGTTAACTCCAGATCACGAACAGCAGCGACGAACAATTGTCATCTGTGATACACCTAGTCCTGCTATCAGCGTCATAACCATCAGTTCTGACTCCGAAGAAGAAAGTGAAACTCTATGGTATTAAAATTACAATAGGAAATTTTTTAAAATCAATTTTGTAACATTTTAATTAAAAGTATATTATTATTTTCAGCTGTAAAGGTAAAGGATGCACTTCATGTGTAAACAAGAAAAATGATAAAATATCCAGTCATACGAAAAATGGAACTACAGCAACAACGTGCGCAAGTGTGCTTCCTCTCACTCCGGATGGTGATGGAGGAACATATGTGGTGCATTCGACGTCTCAGAAAGGTAAGAAATTATATATGTTGATAATTTTTGGTTTCGAGCATGGGTTTAATTTTGTTGATGAGGTGATCTTATTCTAAGGGTACGTTCATAAAGTCGAACGAGTTAAACGCGTTAGTAACAAATCGTTCTAAAAGTAGTAGTTTTGCTCAATGCGCATGCTCTGCGGTGATGGAATTTCGAACAAAACTCTAACGAAGTTCACAAAGGAAAGGGTTAGTTCACTTCGTTAAGAAAATGGCGGCTGACGATATCGATGTTTGTAAATCTACTCGGGTGTTTAAACTGTGAATTAAAAGATGAAATGATAGAAATAACTGTCCACCTGAAGCAATCTATGAAAAATATTTCCAATAAGGCTGCAATAGCAACATTCATATCTTCAATTTTAGAAACAGCCATTTAGTTATAAACGAATCGTTCGAAAAGTCTAATGAAATAAGAATAACGATGATGTTATTCTCATTTAACTCATTTGACTTTACAAACGTATCCTAAGTATCCTACAAAATGTTAGAAAGATATTTTTATTAATTCAAAAATATGTACAAAAAATGTATACTAATTTCAATAGTGTAAAGATTAAGATGGAGTGATCTTGAAATTATCAAAAAATCTAACATTTTCTACTAATGTGCTATTGCAATTGTCACATTCTTATGTCGTTAGCAGGCAGCTACATGACTAAACCTAAATTTGGATAACACAAACTCTGAAAAACTGGAGCTTTGATATAATTAATTGTAATATGATCATCGTAATTCACATTTTTTTTATTATCTTTTGATATCAAAATTATGCACAGATCATCTGAGAAGATTTCTGATCTAAAGCTAGGTTTATGTTCAGTCTGCTAGTTCGTTCATTCCCTTTTGGCGATTGTATGACCGATTCATTAGGAGTTAGGAAAATATCTCGACTTTTCCAAACTTTATTGTTCAACCAATTGACTTCTCACAACTGATGTTCAAAATCTTTTCAACAAATCAACATTCTAACTCAGTTTATTTAACTGTGTGAAGCAAACATTATGCTTTGATTGTTATTTATTTTAATTTTCTGTATGACAGTGTGAACCTTGTTTAATCAAACATACAATATTTTATTCATTGTTACTTAGTAGGTATCACTAATTACTTTTCAATAATACTAACAATTATTACCAGCAGTGTCTGCTTATAATGTAATTAGTTTCCAGAGTTCAATTTTTTGTCTTTTATCATCTGTGAATCCAGACCAAGACATGGGTATAGTTTCTAACGATACCTGTAAGGAATATGCATGGATGGAATTCTTGGCAATATCTACATATAATAAGAAAAACAAGTTATAAAACTTGTTTTTCTTATTATATGTAGATACTTTAATTAGTGAATGCTTTCATCTAATTTTTATATTTTGCAAATGCTTTTAATTACTTGTACATATAACAGAGTACACATTTTTTTACACTTGTACACATATCAGGTTTGCAGTTTCCAAGAAACGAGTGACACAAGTGATTATGCACATTATCATTACCAATGATAATTTTAACAAAATTTGCATCAGAAAGATCATTGTGGATTACAGCATTGAGAAAATAAAAGTGGACAACAATAATGACCAGTGGAGTCCAGACAAATGAGTGGGATTACTTTAAAATGCCAAATTAAAGAAATTATAAGATTACAAAAAGAACAAAACAATTTTAAGAAATTTCTCATTTTGGCTATCAAGCTTCTCACTGTTTAGAATTCCCCAACAAACAGAATTTTTTTTATAAAACTGTATATTCTATACCAAGAGATAATGATCTTACAAAATCAAACAACTACTTAAATTAAAATAAATATATATTAATTAATTATTTGAATGTAGTTTTGAATTTAAATAATTTCAGAGTCAAAAATAAAAAATTACACGAATTATGTTGGTTAATTGTCTATTGGATCATTTTCTGTAATATATTAAATGCAACTTTTAGGTATTAATATTAAACTAGTCTTAAAAATGATGAACTTCTAAAGGGACGTAATCCTGATATTATTGATGAGATTTTATTCTGATATTACTTACAGCTAAATTTTGAAATTTTGTGAGTGTTTATAACAAATGCTAAATAAATCTAATGACTTTCAGGAAACGGAACTGTAACTACTACTACGGCAACGTCCACGACTACCGGTAATGGCAGTCATAGAATAAATGGATATTCGAGGAAGCACGTGGTCAGCTGCGTAACGGTACCCGATTCGGATTCCGAAGGTCACTACAGCCCAGTGAGAGCACTTCCCAATTTTACAGCTAGCGTCATGGGAAAAGTAATTAAACCTGAGCCTCAGAAGGACATGGTCACCAACAGGTAAGTGATGCGAGTTATATTAGTTTTTGTAATTAAAAAGTTTTATATTCAGTAACTAATTTTTCTGGTACAGATTTTCAGATATGCATAATTTCTTTTTACAGTATACCTGCTAATACCTCCCAAAAGAAAAGAATTTTAGTTAAAGCTCAGGCACAGTCACATTATACAAGCGTACCTACCAAACAAGAAGTTATTGATTCAGAAGAGCAAGAAGAACAGAATCAAGTTTTGGCAACACATCATCCAGTAAGTAGTTGATATTTAATAACAATACTTACTAGCCTGTTTTCAAAATCTCACTTGAATCATATTTTTGGTTTTTGTATGAAGGCAGCTCCATGCATTTGGTATTTGCTAATTTCCAATAATTACATTTTGACAACTTATCTGTTGAAGCATTTATCACTTTGTGAGCACATGCATACGCTCGTGTGATTATTTGCCAAACATTGATTTGTTGTGGAATTACAAATGTTTGTCCTAGATTTGGCACAATATATTGATGAGGGGTGGGAGATGCAAATAAGGAATGTATGTTGAATGAAGTTGTAAGTCACTAATCTACACTACTCCATATCGGCCAAATGTTTGTTTGACATACAGCAAATACCAAATGTGTGGCCTTTCCTTTAAACAATAAAATGTGATAAATTTTTTGGTTTTATTTTTATGGAAACTGATCATTTCTAAATTTATCATTCTCTTTTGGATATTATATAAGGAACAAAATTGAGTATATTTGATATATGTCATATACTGGGTGATCGAATGGAAAGTTTACTTTTGAGGAGTAATTTAATAATACTACTGGCTGGCCATACTCATTATTGTCTTGCTAGTGTTGAAAGAAACACTTAAATCTTGAACATTTATTTACTACAGACCCTTGAGGAATTTCAAATGCTCTGTTGGGCCCATATTTAGTTAGTAAATGTGAGATTTTGTTTTTCGTGGTGTAAAATGGGCAGTAACAAGTGCAACCAGCTCACTACATTTCTAAATTTACTTCTTCCAAGTAAATTTTTTTTTGATCACTCTATAGAAAAACAATTTGTTATATGTGTATTACAATTATTCAATAGAAAACTTTAGCCATAACTGGTGGAAGTCAGTTGACAACGACTACAGTCAGTGGAGTGGGAAGAGGTAATCAATCTGTGCGGTTATCACCTATTCAGCATGTGGGTCAACCACTTTACCTTACCACAAGTCAACCAGATATGTACAGGTAAAAACATAGTTTATTATAATATATAATGTTGTAAAGTACTATATTATTTTTCCGACTTTCCAACGATTATCGACACTACTGTGTGCCGGAAATAGCCGTTCCCTAACGGGTACTTTACGCGGATTCGCATTAGTGTGCCAGGCCTGGACTTTAAGCGTGCACCGAATTAAATAATGACAAAGTTTGTCAATAACAAAATCAAATATTTAATTAAACTTCTATTAATAAACTCTATACAGTATTTAGTAAAAATCAAACAATAATTTATTCAATGAAATTCAACAAGAATCAATCCGACAAACTCAAATCAATCTATTTCTAACTTAATTCTATTCCCCTTTGGAATTCGACAAAATCAAAGAATTAACTTATAAACAATAATTCTTATAAATTAAAGATCCTAATCGTCACCTCAATATACTAGGAACCTATTTCCTCAAACTCTCAAGACTTTCTATAATCGTCGATCCACAAATCGAATAACTTCAAAATCCTATCGGACACCTCTCTCGTTCACTGCTACGAAGCTCACCAAAGCTCGTTGCTATCAGGAATTCACCTCGTTCGTTTTCACTTGAGTTAGAGGCTTTATAGTGTGAGGTGACGTCACAATTCTGAATGAGCTCACTCTCCTCATTTACATACTTATCTGTAACATTAAATTTTTCTTGTTTATCTGGCAGATTATTTTCCGACAATACTTCGCTAACCTTTTACATTATTCTTTTTAACAATTATCGGGATGCTTTATTCTTTTAAGGTTTAGCGATTCCTAACTGGGTTGTGGGGTCTTCCCCCCCTTTTTCTCGGTGCGGACTTACTTTTTTCCGCTTGGGAAGCGCAAGTGTGCGCGAGTTTTTCTACGGCGCTTTTCTTTCGTCGGTGAGTTGGTTTTTCTTCTATTTTTAAGTTACTAAGGTGAATGGTGAGGAAACCTTCGTCTTAACTAAACATAAGCCCCAAACAAAATATAATGAAAGCAAAATAAAAGTAAAATAAAAATAAAGCTCAGACTTGGTTCCTTACACCGTGGTATTTTACTTTTTTGTATAAATAAAACTTAAATGAAACAAATTCATTGCATTTAGGCTTAGATTATTGCTAAATATCTGTTTCTAGTACAGTAATTTTAAGTTCAATAGGTTGATGGACTCCTCTTGTTTGTTTATGATGTTTTCTTAATAAATTGTTTTGAATTTTACAAATTGTGATTTAAATGAATATTTATTTAATGTAAAGCTTCAAAAATATGATTTTTTTTTACTCCATGGATAAGGACTTTTTCTCATATTTGTTGCAAATTTGGCCAGATCCATGATGGGTGAGAGTTGACTCCAACATGTCTGGGATGGACTGCTTGCAGAAAATAGCCAAGGGTGATGGCATGAACTTGAACCCAGGTCCCCAGAATTGTGGACCAATTCTTATATATACCATGGCTGTCCTCTAATATTCTGTAGTCGTAATTTATATGAAGTAAATATTGTAGTTCATTGGCGAATTTTGCTGTTACATTTATGTAAAACATTAAAATTTATGGAAGAACATGAGGCAACAAAATAATTTGCCTTGCTGATCTCTACTTAATCACTCTTAAAAGGATTGGCGAAAATAATTTTCTCCAACTTTTTTTTTAATTCCAGTTCAATCTGTTCTATTGTCAACTTACAGTAATAAAATTTAGATGATGTAAAAGTGAGCCACTAAACTTTTTGAATTTGGAATATAAAAAGAATAATTCCATTCAGTTAAGGTAGACTGATGTTTACACACTCAGATACTCTGTTATATCTGTAATATATTTATCTCAAATGTTTATTTTAGAATCACTTGTACTGTACATTACTGTATTTAACAATCCACATGCATACAATGCATATTGGACTAGAGTTGGTATAAAGAATTGATTAATGACATTATCATCAAGTTGGACATAGTGTAAATATGGCCAGTTGGGAATAATTGTGAATTTGCACTTAGAAATGGATTGAGTTGGTATCATAGGATAAAGCTTTTTGTAATAAATCAAATTTTGTTTTTATTCTTTATGAAATTAAAAGCCAATGAAACAAAAATTATTGTAAATGTGAACAGAGTTCGAGATGTCGAGCATGTTCTCGACATATCGACAACTCGACGTTTTTTTCCGAACATCTATGAATCTTTGTTTTACCGAGTGATGTTGCGTGTTGTCTTCTCATATTCTTGGTTACTTCTGATAGACAATATTTTTAATGTTTCCCATAAGTAGTAATGCTCCAAAGTACACGAAACATTTTGTTTTAGTATTGCAACAAATTTGGAACCACAAACTTCTTTAAAGAGGGTTTGGAATTGCCAAAATTGCCCAACATAGTATGCACAGACTATTACTTAGAGGATGAGATTAAATATATTATTTCTTATTTAGACATTCCAGTGTTATAAGACATAAAAAAATGCCAGGGGAGAGTGCAAGTATTAGGCAAAGCAAATTTTAAATCAGTCTGTCTCTGCATTAGTTGATACACAAGCATTTTAGAGGTTATTATTTGAATTGTGTCAATATTATTATTTTGAAGATTTTAGTGCTGTATTATTTAAACAGTCTGTCTCAGACAAGTATGATGCATTATATTATAGATTTAACATTTCAAATTTAATGTATAAAAATATATGATAATTTTTAATGATTGCAGTAACTTGGACAATCAGTTTACAAGAAGATAAATTTGACTAATCTTGTGCCATTTTACATTGCAGGGAATATTGTCGTCCGGCAGTGTACGTGGCCTCTAGTTTGGCCCAACCTACCTATTTGCCGACCAACCAGTCTCAAAAGTACGTTCTGGCTCCGGGACAGATATCGGCTGGAAATGCCGCTCCGTTTGCAGCCAATCAGCTTCCGGCACCTCCGCCCGCCCACCACCACCACACCACCAACCGACCTGCCGTGGGTGCCACCGTGCCTTACGCTGCCACCCACACCGCCACCCATCCGCTGCCTGCTCACCTGCAGCCAGCAAGTGCTGCCTCTGCCACCGCCATCCTTCCCAACTCCACCGTTCCTCTGGCTTCCTTTCCGGCCGCCGCCGCTGCTCAGGCGCCTCCGCCCTATGGATACAGCCTCAATCCGCTGAGTCCTCCCAAGTCACAATACCAGCATCTCTACCAAATGTTTGGCGAGTAGGCGTTGGCCCAAGATCGCCGTTGCTCTTCCGCATGCACCATTTTGTCCGGACTTCCGACACTCAAGCTCTTTCTCGGATCTTTCCTTTTGTGCCTCTGACGGATGGTTTTACTCCTTTTGCGTTCTGTCTCCCTTTTGGACGGCGGGGAGAGAGCGCTCCGCGCCCGTCCCCGTTTTATCCTGTCCAAGAGAGTAATTGGTCTCGGATTTCCGGCCCGGCGGAAGACTCGGTCGCTCCACCACCGTGGACCCTCGCCCGGAAGGAGAAGACGACAGACTTAGGTTACGTCTGGAAAGATTGCCATGAAGTTTTCCTTCCCAGAAGACTTTTCTAGGCCCAAGTTCAAAAAATGGTAAGAGAAGCTTCAGCGCAGACCGGTCGAAGTCGTGACTCTCATTTTTTTTAATCGGACATTTCAGTTTACCGGTTTTGTTTCTGTGGAAGCACCGACCCAGCATTTCTTCGTGCATAAAATACTAAACGGGATGTTTGTTCATTTTTTTTTGTAATTTAGGGAAAAGTTCCATTGATTGTATATATCTATACATATATATATATACATATATATTATATATATTATATTATATTTGTAAATGTGAGATATATTATTGGTGGGAGATATAATGTGTAGATGGTATATGAACTTTAAAAGCAAAAACAGATTTATTATTAGATGGTTCCACCTCGTTTCAACGTGGTAACAGGGTCTTTCTGGCGAGCCGTGTGTCCCCTAGTCCAAAACAGGACAACTGTAGCTCGCACCCTGGTTAATTCATTACCGATATACCTCTACGTCATCTAGTTTGTTTGTAGTGAGTGAGTCAACGTGCAGTGATATTTTGGTACCTAAATGAATCCCAAACTTTCCTGCATACACTGGGAAAAATTTTGTGTTCGTGTGTCGTCCCTTCGTGTTTATCATCAAATTTAGAAAGTGAAGACAAATTCTAATTATATTTTAGTCATATAATACTTAGCATCTCAGGTGTTTGCCCCTTTTTAATTCAGAGCTTTGTCATAATACATATTAAGTGCTTATAGGGTTTTTAATTCGACCCATATTATATATACATATAAATATATATAAAATTTATTCATAGTCATCCCATATATGATTAAAATCCCATATTTTCCCTTACGGAAATTTGAAAAATAAAATGATGAATTGCTCGTACGTGTATACTTACGTCGTTTAGCTGGAAATTTTGCATAATTGTTTTATCAGCCTGGGATTTTTACATAAGTTATTATTATATTATATTATTATTATCTTTATTTTAAAATTAGTTGCCTTAATATTTAGATGTCAGGCTGAAATTTAAGTGCCTGTTAAACATTAACATGAAATTTAAATATATATATACACACACACACAAAATGTATATAGAACTTATATACAGGATGAAGAACCATTGTAAACATTATAACCTCAGACGATGATAGAAGAGACAAAGTTTAATTCAATTTATTATATTAATCGCAATTAATTGGAGGAACTCAATTAGTGTTATCGGCCATTCTCCGTTTTAATTCTAGATAAATGTTTTCTACCGATTCCGTGCGCGTCGGCGGGTTCTCCAGAATAATAGGGACGTTTTTTACGGAATTTTGTGTCTTGTATCGCCTCTCGAGATTATTATATTTACTCTCAGTTCGCAAATGAATACGCAGACAATATAAATGTATAGACTCACATTATCTAGTGTTAATATGTAAACTGTTGTGGATAATCTGGTTTTAGGTACGAATTATAGAATTATGATTATCAATTTCTTTAGATTTAATATATTTGTGTGAATAGCATGCAAAGTTTTGATGTTTATTGATGTTATTTAACATTTCGTCGACATTCGTCTCCCTTAGAAAGCGAGCGTGGCTTCCTCGTCCTGCAAGACGTGCCTCTAGCATTTGGGACTCGGCCACCCCCGACATCCCACGAGGACTGCGAATATCCCTTTGTGCCTTTGTACGTATGTGTGCCGTATGTACGCAGTAGTTTTGTGTCCTCTTAGATGGACGCGACACACGGGAGTTAGTGTATTCGTGCACGCACCCCATGTTTTATCACCCATCACTACAGATTAATAGACTTCGGCCAACAATCGAGCCGGCCAATTGCCACCATCCAGAAATTTGACCGTAAGGGAGGAGGAGGTAAGAGGCCTCTGCAGCCTGCAGCATCTACGGGTGGAGGGGCTGCCTAACGTTCCACCGTGTCGCTTTTTTTCTCGTGGTGGAGACACGACATGCGTGCGGTCGAAATTGCTAATCAAATATCGTTAGCGTCCCCAGCCTCACCGGACTGGCGGACATTTCAACATATCGAATGGGAGACGACGACGCTAGAAAAATATATGTAAATGTGGGTAGAGTTCCTGTGTGTTATATCTTATATCTGTTGTTAAATATGTGCGTTAATGTGGAACGATGCATTTTTTTCCAAAACTTAGTTTGTGGCGGTACAACCGGATTGTTACCGTAGGCGACTAGTTCAAAACATGTGTCTGAGTAGGATTTATACTGCACTAATGTAAACTGCACCTCGGTGTCGTATCTCTTTCCTGCAAGAGAAACCCGGTGGGTCGTGCTTTCTTAATGCCTTCGCCGTGCCGAAAAACCCCACCTCCAGTAGGACCGTTTTCCGATTAGCCGTCTACGGTATAAATTGTCTTTTTGCTCATTACCAAGTTGTCCAAACGGGAGATGACTTCCGTCTGTGTGTCGAGAGTGTGCCCGTACGAGTGTGTATGTCGGTGTTTTTACTAGCAGACCAGTTGTAAAATCCAAAAAATTACGCGGTGTTGCACCGGCGGGCTCGAACTCCATGCCGGATCGCTCCGCACACATTCCTTTCTCGGCGGGAGGGGAGTGCCTTCGAAGTATGGCATACGTGCATCTTTTCCCCCTCCTAGTTGGATTTGCACCTTTCACCCCGTAACGGAATGCTGTCGTGCCTGTTTGTGCAACCGAAATTTACTCCAAATGGGTGAAGTTATGGGAATAATTCTTACCTATACACAATTGCACATTTTTGTAGATAAAACGTGTTTTCTGTACAATTCTGTAGATAAGAAAATCAAATTTAAAAAAAAAAAAACACTGTAGATAGATATGTATTGTGATTCCGGGATGGTGCCACCTCTTCCGTTTAGCATCTCTTTCTGGCCCCCCTCTCCCCATTTAGTGTCTTCGTCCTATAACCCAAACGGGTGGTTTTATCACATGCGCAGGGTCCAAACGGTCAAAGTTGGCACCAGCCCGGTGCATTTAAATTCTTTCTATACTAAAAAAAATGATGTTCTAGCTGTGTACACATGGCGTACGTCGTGTGCTGTGTCGATTTCTTTGATCTTTCTCACTCTAACGGTAGAATGGGACGTGTCAATGTTGGTAAGAATAATTAAACATTGTAGATTAATTATAATACCGTGTGTGTATGTATGTCGCTTTACATTTGAATGGGAGAGCCCTCGAACTCTGAGAGGTACAAAAAATTTTCAAAATGAGCTTGGGTATTTCTGAATATCTTTGCAGATATATATATATGGTCAGCTTTGTTTATCGCCACTTTGTTAAAATTGTCTGTGACACAAAAGGCAAAAATAAAAGTGGCTTTTGCATTGTAGTCTGGTTTCGTTCTTTATCGCATCCACCCTTCCACGTAGGGGAAACAAGTCATACCGAAACTCAAAATACAAGTTGCGATACACGGCAGATGAGTGACTCTGTGCTTATAATACTAATGCCAAACACCAAATGTCAGCTACTTAACTCGACAATGTGACACCAAGTTTGGAAGCTACTTTACACTGTTTCCAGTAACTTTCCACAATAATCACAATCCTAATGACATATGCCAATGTAGTAAAAATAACTATTAGTATAGTTTTAATTATTTTGGCTTTCATAATTGCAAATTGCTACAAAAATGGCCGAAACCGGATTTAAAGTATTAAACGTTGATAGGTTACATTACCGTGACGTTTTTCACTACAGTGAAATAATACGAACGCGCCATCTATCGTAAAAATAATGTACTTTGCCGTCGGCGCTATCTGTTGACGAATCTAAGCAACGTGAATTCCATTATCCTTGACTGTTGCCATCGCAAAATTTCATGAATTTCCGGTATTTTAAAACATCCGTTCTGAACTAGAGTATGAAGTTCAAATGCGAATTACTTCAGATAAAAAGTGTAACTTCTATTACGACCACCAGAGGGCCTAAGTTAAATTGCACGTAGGCCCTCTGGTGGTCAGGACAAACTGCTCGCGAACTGATTTTTTGATAGGTTTAAACATACGTGTTATATTTTTTCTACGCGAATAAATCTGTGCGGAAAATTCAAAACTAATACGGTAAGTAAATCCAATCACTGCTTCGAATTGTATTCTAATAATAATTAAATTTATATTCTGCAACGAAATGGGTTCGAAGATGGTAAAGGCGGTGTCATATGTTTCAGTATTGTCTGTGCTTATTGTGCCGTGTTCGGTATCACAGAATTTTTACTAACAAATAGAAACGTATTTAGCATCGTAGCATTGTACTAGTGACGTCATTGTTTTGCTGGTAAAATTTCAAGATCTCGGATTGGACTAAACAATTTAATTTTATTATAAAAAGTATTATAATTATGATAATTTTTAATCAAAAAATCATCATTCGACATTTTTACATACGATCAATTTAACTTGCTAATTCGGCACATGGTTCAAGAATACTCCGAACACATTAGCTCCTCCCTTCTAGCCAATCGGATATTTTTTAGCATTCTGCGGCCAGTCAAAGTTGACGTCACAAGATGGAGGGTAACAATACTGTATACCACGTTTGTATTAATTTATGATGACAATTTTTGTGTTTGCTTATACATTAAACTTTAATAATTAAAAGTGAAATAATGCGAGATGATCTTATTCGGGACAATATGGAAATTGCTAGAAAAAAAATTCAATTAAAGAATGTATGCGATGTATAATTTGTAATTTCAATTGTTTACTGGTTTCGGTATTAGAAAGGAACTAGTTATTAAATATTGTGTAAATAAATATTTTTAATGTAAATCAATGTGTTTTACTTTAAAGAATTGAATCGAAGCATAATTAGAAACAAGCGAAAACGAACATTAAAAAAGTGAATAAATAGTATTTTAATTCGCACACGTGGAAGGACTAAACATGGCGTTGATATTTAATCGAAACGACTTCTGTTAAACTGATCGAAATACTTTAAAATTTATTATAAAACAAGTCAAACTGACATAAATTTACCTCAATCAAATAGTTTTGAAGAGAAAAAAATAGATGAAAAATTAGAAGCGACGAATTAAAGAAAAATAAAAAAAAAGGACTAAATATGGCGGCACTTTTCTGTCGAAGGCGAAGATGGCAGTTTCGGCTTGTGTTTTACTAAACACACCAGGCCATTAAATTATGTTAAATACTTTCCAATTATCTTGTGTCTTATTGGTGTGTCGATTAAAACCGCAAATCCTTTGGGATATAGAGGAGAAAAGCAGAAATTTTACTTTCCGACAAAACGGAAGTACGTAATAAGTAATGCGCAGAAAAACAGTTTTGTGTCTTTTTTTCCGTTTAACAAGAACAGACCGAGTAAGACGTGTGTAAGAATGTTCCAATAAACGAGCCATTATTGTCTCGAAAACTAATTTATACACAATTATTTTGACGTTAAAAATACATTATACTTAAAATATTAACATTTAACGCCATTTTAAATAAATTTCTGTCTATAACTCGGTCACGCGCGTTAGGATCCGAGTTCGCATCTTACGCGGGCGTTTTAATGAATTTTCAGACGTTGAAAACTTTTACCACCAGATGGAAAAACGGAGTTTCGTTTACGACGTAATTCAATACGAAAGGAGTAAAGTGTCCGACCGCACGTGCGGCAGATGGTACGTATCGGAGGGTGGTCGATGACGTGTAGGACCACCTGCACGCGCTCGTTTGCGTCGTCGTAACGAAGATGGACGACTCGGCAAACGTGTCGTACCAGCATAACTCCATCGAGCAAATCGTTCCTTTTTGCAATCGCACGAGATGCGGACAGCAACAGTTAACCGACGAAATTCTTCGGTTTTCCCAGGCCCTACTGCAACTAAATGGAGACAATCGACACGTCTTGTTTGTTCTATCGGGCCTTTTAGTCTTGCGTAAGTACTCGACACTACTTTCAACGTAATCGTTTGTTTTTAATGCAGAAATCTGTGTTACGTTTAATAATGCAGTTATGCAAAGTGGATTTCCTCTGGTACAGTACGGTTCTCGCAAGAATTCCGCTTCTCACGTCTTAGTAGTGTTTATCTACCATACGAGTAAGTACAGGTTTTTTTTTCTAATTTTATAGAGGGGGATTTTTTACGTCATTTCGTCACTTCTCCACGTGTAGCGGATGTAAATATTTAAATACAGGAAATACTATTTATTGTAAATAAGTGTTTTGGGAAGTTGCAAAACGTAACAACGGGGCTTTCCCCGTGTGACAATTTATTGCTTTATTTATTAAATAACAATATAATTAACTTGTGCATATACTCGTTAATCCCCCAAACTCGTAAGGACGTGACGTTGATTAATTACACCCCGGTTAATCGGATGCTCTGTCCTCTTAAACTCAGAATTCTGTGTTTCAAGTGATAGCGGGTATAATCTACTGGTTAATCGGATACGGTATAGCGTTTGGCGAGGGTCTCGGATTCGTAGGAAGTAAAAACTTCGCCGGACTGAATTTGAGTGCCGATGATGCGTCTCATTGGTTCTTTCATTTGACACTGGATGCCACCGTCTGTTCCATCGTGGTGTCTTCCATGGCGGACAGAGGAACGTTCGTCTCTTACGTCATCGTCACAATCCTCGTTTCCGGTAAGTAATTAAGCCTCTATTTATAAAAGACAATCTTCTGGTGTTTTAATCCTCCCATTTAAAGGTCTGATCCATCCTTTCGTGGTTCATTGGTGCTGGAGTCCATTCGGATGGTTGTACCAGAATGGCGCAATGTATTATCGAGTAAGTTTGTTTTTGCATTGTATTGATAAAAATCGTACGAAGAAAAAATTTACCATTTTTACGGTAAGAACACTTGGGCCTTTCATTTTGCAGTATATTAAGCGTTGAATTATTCGGGATAATATTTGCATTGTTCTTCAATGACGTTAATACTTTGCAGTGTTACGTAATCGGGTCTGTTGAAATTGGTCGAACGCTTGAAGTAATCTTTGGCATTTTAGGAATGTTACCCAGGCGTTACTTTTGGGTATTAGTGCTATGATTTTCTGGTTATTGGAGAGTTTTTAATGATCCTTAACCTGTGTCGTTGTAGGATTACGCGGGTGCAGGTGTGATCCACGTAAGCGCCGGTGCGTGTGCCACGGTTGCCGTGGCAACGGCCGGACCCAGATCGGTCAGATCGGACACCGTGCAGAGAAAACCCGGACATACCATACCGGTAAGCAACCTTTGTACTCTTGACGTCTTCGATGACGTGTTAATTCGAATCCTTTACGCAGATATCCATCGTGGGAAGTTTCCTGCTGATTGTCGGTTACGTGGCCATCGCCTGTGGAACGCAGGCGGGAAGAAAGGTGCAAAACCTGACCACTTCGTCCATAGTCGATGCTATCACTTCTACCGTTTTGGCGGCAAATTTCGGGGGTGCCGCCTACCTGTGTTGCTATCGTTTAGAGAAATGCTGCAAAAATAGCCGCCGAGAGGTTCGACCCGACGCACTCGTTTCGCTTTCCTACTTTCTGGCAGGATCAGTGGCAGGAATGGTAAATAGCATCTTGTATTTTCGGCCTGAAAACTGAAAAAACCCGGAATTTTGGAAGCGAAATGTCGAGTGCTTCCGTCAAGAGAGTCCGGATTCGATTCTCATTCGATAAATTTATCGCCAGGTGTCGGTGAGTGCCGGTTGCGACAGGTTCCCCATGTGGGCGTCCGTAACAGTGGGGGTAATAGGAAGCCTCTTTGCCTTCTTTCTTCACCTTGTGGTGGCTTTCTTCAAAGGAGAAGACGAGATTCACGTCGTCGGTGGTGAGTACTATTCGATCTAGAAGACCGAAAAAACTAACGAAAATTCTCAAATATGTACACACTTTCAGTGCATCTGGGGGCGGGAATCTGGGGGTTGATAGCAGCACCCGTTTTCGAATACCCGGATGGAATGATTAAGGGGGAGATCGATACCTCTCGAATGGTGAGTAATCTTTCTAGACGCTTACGCAAGTAAACACCCACAAGTAAAGATATATTCTGCAGGTGATAGCGTGGAATTTGGCAGCGGGGAGCGTAATATTAGCGTGGAGTGGTGTGTTATCCATCGTAGTGTTCGTCACTTTGAAGTGTTTGAAGTTTTATTCGATAGATTACGACTTGAAAGGTATAAAAGAGTAAGTAGAAACTACCAAGGTCGAATCGGTACTTCAATGTCGATGAACTTTACAGGTTCGGATATTTTGAGACAAGGACAGACATCCTCGCCTGCTCCTTCCAGCGCCGAGAATTCGTACTTTCACGCTTATCAACAAAGTAACGAAAATGGGAGCAGCATAAGTAAGTTGACGAATAGAGAATTTCTTTTCTGAGGGATAATTAAGGTAATTAATTAATTGTTTAATAAGTGTTACTTTATTCTCTATTGTTGAAAACAAGGCATTACTGGAGGTTCTTGCATACTAACAATTAGTTAGTAGAATATAGAATTGATAATTCGGAAATAATTGTCAAGTACTTTGGGTATTACACAAGAATCTAGTGAAGACTGTCGTGTGACACTTGGAATTAGCACGCAAATTAACAAAAAGGCCTCTTATCTTAGATAGGATGCGTGTTTGCAATAAGGGTGATTTGAATTAATCACCCTTATAAACACAGGAAACGTGGTTAGCAATTTTCTCTTGCCAAATATGTCTATTTACCATATTTATAATTTTGTATTCCGTGATGTAATTGGAGGATGAGAGAGTAACAGGAAGAATTACATTCTTGATTTGGCTTTCCATTTACAGTGGAACCCCGGTTAACGAACGCCCTGGTTACCGACCAAGTCGGTTAACAAACTTTTATTTGGAAAAAAAATTGTCTTGGATAACGAACGTAACGGTTTTTTGTATCAAATTTTAGTTGCTGTTAGGCATGTGCGAGTTAAGCATTGCTTTTCCGAGTGTTTGTGCTAAACTTCTTTTTTCAGTTTTGTGATTTATATATTTAAACAATATGGCAACCAAAAAAGAGAAAAGTAATAGTGGCAACAGAAAACGACAATGCGCTATCGCATTTGAGAAGTCTTTATTAAAAGAGTAAGACAATAAACTTTAGATCAATTTCTTGTTCCTTACCAAAAGAAACCTGGACTCGAAGTATCTCCCGATGAAGTGCTACCAGTTATTTTTTTTGGAGGGAGATTCCCCTTCTAAGCATTAAGCTCCGTATATTTCCACTCCTCTGCCACCAACTACAACAAACGAAGGTATGTACAGTGCTATTTTATTAAATAAAGTTTACATGTTCGTTGCTGTAATAATAGATACTAAGTTTCCATACATTTTCATCACAGAAAACCTACTGTATTTTACAAATAAAATCAAGGCTAGAATGGATAAATTGCATTTGCATTCTATGGAAAAAACTGCTTCAGTTAATGAACAATTTGGTTAACGAACGGAGTCGCGGAACGGATTAAGTTCGTCAACAGGGGTTTCACTGTATATAGTGTGACAGCAGAAATATTTGGCAATGTAGAATGCTGCAATTATTGTTGGAATAATTTTGACCGAATTTACCGTAGGAGAAATGCTAATAGCAATTGGGGCAATTTGTACTTCTTTTCTTGGAGCTTGGGTGGTTCCAAATACACAGAATTGAGATCTGCTATGTTGTTTTATATATTATTTATATTAAAATATATAAAATCAGCTTTCGTCTTCATCTGTAATTTTGATATGACAAAGCTACAAATGAAGTGTGACAGTATGTTGTTGAAAAGATATTGTAGAAACAATTTAAAAAATTAACAAGGTTTTGCAGGAAAGAAATTGGGAAGCTTAAGCAGGGCCGGCCTTCTCTATAAAGGGGTCCAGGTGCAAGAAACTATTTGGGCCCTAAATTTTTTGTAAAGTAAAAAAAATTACAAACACGAACATATATTACTAATGCATGTTTGTTTAAAGTGTGATTTTGTTTTTGCTAATACATTAACTACTTCAGAAAAATTACAATTTTTTGCAATTTTTTTTTTTTCGATGCTTAATATAGCAAGTGCATTTAAGCGTTCTGCACACATGCTGGACCAAAGATAATTCTTTATTAATTTTAATTTGCTGAAAGAGCGCTCAGCACTTGCTATAGTAACTGGCAACGTAAAGAAACGTTTTAACACAGTCAATACATTTAGAAATAACTCATTATAATTATTATTTAGTATGTATTGCAATATGTGTCGTGCGTTATTTACATCCCTTTCATTCAAAATCAAATCCCATAGCAAACCAATTTCCTGGATTAGGTTTTCATCTACATCCTTGTTATAAAACTTTACAAAGTTTTTGGAACATTTTTCTAATTCATGTTTTTCTAAGGTTTTTATATCAGTGATTAATTTGAAATCAGAAATAATATTTGGTATACTTTTAAATCTATCTTCTATTTGTACAATAACAATATCAATTACAGTGTTAAAAAAATAACATCTAAATTCCTCTACCGGGTTTTCTATAACTTCATCTGCTATTTAGAAATATAACCTTTTTCTTTTTCGTATTTGTTTTTCAGGAAAATGTTTTGAAATATTCAAATTACGTGCAAACACTTTTGCTTTGTTGAAAAATGTGTTAAATTTTGTTCTTAAATTTTGGATTTCACTTTTAAGTTTATTGACTAAATTAAAAGCTGACTCAAGAATAATTGTTTTCACTTGAAATAGTATATTGATAGCGTTAATTTTAGACAACATTGCAAACCTTACTATTAAACATAAAATAAATGGCATATCTTGTATTGAATCCAACAGACTTTTAGCTTTGGATACTGCTGTATTATCGTTACTTATATCAATAAATTCTTCTAGGGCATTACAAGTTTGTTCAAACTGTGTATACCCTACTTTAACCGAATCTATTTTGGCTTCCCACGAGTGTCACATAATGGTTTAAGAGTAATGTTTAAATGCTTTTTTAGAATTTCCCATCTCTTTGTAGATGCAGAAAATAAGCAATATAAACGTTGCAATATCCCCCAAAAATTTTTACAATACGTACTTCTGGAAGCGGCAGCACAAATTAATAAATTAAAAGTGTGTGATAGGCAAGGCACATATACTGCGTGAGGGTTTAGAGCAATTATTCTAGATTGTACACTTTTATATTTCCCTTTCATGTTGCTACCGTTGTTGTATCCCTGCCCTCTACAATTCATATGTAAATCAAGCTCACTTAATGTTTTCAATAGAGTTTTTGCTAGTCCTTCTCCAGTCACATCAGTTGCTTCAATAAACCCTATAAATGATTCATTTATAATTAATCTTTTCTCTTCAAAATTTACATACCTAATAATAATTGAAGTTTGTTCCTTATGGAAAATATCAGAAAAATCAGATTTTATTCACTCTCGGTTACAACTGACTGGAGTGACGACTACACAAGAACTCACTCAGATATTCAAAAAGTATGTAGGAATTTCTACCTTTGATCTGACACTTAGATCAAGTTACAACAGATCAGTTATAACAGTTCTCTTTGATTCTTAGAACGGCTAATCCTACCCAGAGACAATAACGGTCACCAGAAAGTTCCAGAAATAAGACAAACAAAAAGAGATAGAAGAAATTATAAAAGAAACATTAAAACTACGACTATATACAAATCTATATATATAAAAATGAATGTATGTGTGTCTGTGTGTGTGTGTGTCCTTCATGCATTACCACACTGTTTATCCGATTGCCGTGAAACTTTGGGAAGTTGTTTAATATACTCCAGCGAAGGTTTGTGGCATAGTACGATTGCCATGAAACTTTGGAAAGTTTTTTAATACACTCCCGCGAAGTACATTTATCCTACAATAGATGGCACGCGTTTACACGAGCATTCGAGCACAGTGTGTTTGATCGATTTCAAATTGTGAAGACCATTTTCCCCCTTCAAAAAATATTTCTATATATGCATTTGTGAACTGTTATTTATGATATTTGTAATAATGTTTGTTTAATCACTTTATTTCAACTTTTTTTTTGCTAATTACGTATTCGCTCGAACTTTGTTAAAACTTTAACTGTATACCGAACAACAACCGAAGTTGTAGAAGGAAATTCGCCTATTTTACCGATCTAGGGATCCCCTTTTCCAAATTTTAATATCATCTAATAATTTAAAAAGACAAATTACAATAAAACGGTTTATTATCCAACTATCAGAAATTTCACAACATGCCAAGGAAGAGAGGAAGGAGCAATTAAATAATTAAAATTATAAAGGATTTAAAAATATATATAAAAATGGGGAATATCGCACTTCTGACAATCGCAGCGAGTGTGTGGGCTAAATTTGGAGAATCCGTGCTTCTCGCGTGGACAACTGTATGTGGCCGGCTCGCGTCGAAAAACCTTCCAATTTATTCGTGTACGCACCAGACGGAAAAACAAAAAATATCGTGTATCCACAAACACTCCAATAAATAAATAGAATTGAAACGACACTTTGAAATGTTTTCCCGATGAAAATGAATAATAATAATAAGTTTCAATAAAAATAATAAAATGTAAATTGAATTTCATCATAACGAGTTTGCTTGAATTTTGTTTCTTCTGAGATCGCAGCAATGCGCGACAGGTAAGCTAGTATACATATAATTTTATATGGCCGACGGCCACAGTATTATTTTCATTTCTTAACGCAGGCTATATGGTATTGAGATTTTTTTCTGAAAAGTCCAATTTAGGTGGGAATCTTCGGGAGTTCCCCGAATCAAATAATAAAAACTAAACACTCGCATCATCAAGAATTAGTTTGAAGATTGTCGAAATTCAGAGATTACAATAATAATGTTTAGATAAAATGTACTTTTCGTCATACTGACGATAGGAATATTGTCAAGTTTTCATGTGCAAGAGTACATTATTTTAGTTCTTGATAATGTTGGGGCCGCCCTCAATCGCGGGGCCCTGGTGCATAGCATCCGCCGCACCCCCCGATGGCCGGCCCTGAGCTTAAGTTGATTTGCCTTGTCTTATGAATGTCCTAAATAATACTGAATTTCAATGAAATATGTGAACATTGTATAACTTTTCGTTGTTTCATCAAAAGGAAGCAAATACTTGCATTTTGCACAAAGATTTGAAGTGAAAAACAAACAACTAAGTTTATTCTATAATTGCAAACTTTGTTGTAGGATGTTGATTTAACTTTCTTTTTCTTTATAGTGGGTTATGACATTCCCTTAAATGTAAAGAATCAAGCGAACGACAGATATCCCACGATTCAGCGACCGTTTGGCACGAGAAACGAAGCATTCCTGTCTGAAAGTGCCACGCAGTTATAAATTTATAAACTTTGATATTTTAATGTTTTTGGTTAATAAGTACTGACAAAAGCGTAATTATTGATATTTTACACAATTTTATATATTGCACGTTGAAGTTATGAATTGATTTTAACTTATTCAATTATTGTAAATTAGTGCTATTGAAAGTAATGTATGATAATTTTGTTTCATCCATTCTTATGACACAATTTTAATTTTTTTAAAAATATTTACAATGTTTATTTTTATTCACATTTTAAGAGTATATGTAACATCAAGTGTTAATAAAAAAAAATGATAGCAAACTTCAAATGTAGATGTGCTTTCTACAAATATGTAATGGTAAATTTTAATAGCAGCAATAAAAATATATTTATTTCTCTATAATATTTGCTTTCACAAAAAAGAAAATCATCTATAAATAAATAAATTTATATTTTTATAAACGTGCTTTGTATCAATAATTGTACAGAATAATTCATTTCTCAAAAATTATTAAAACCAACTCACTTTTGTGTTCATCTAACATTCAAATTCTTGCTTAACACAAAAACACATCTTAAAGTCCGGTCTGAACCAAAATATTTAACGAACAACTGTCGCATTCTATGACGAGACAGCTGCCGTACTTTAAATCTTCTGGATCTAGTATGTAAGATCCGCCGCAACGGCAACTTCTCTCGTAACTCTCGTCTAATAGAAATCATACAATTTCCGTAAGTATTAAGAAATTATATTTTTAAAATCTACTCAACTTTGGATATGTTTATCATTGCTTTACTATTATTTAAAATTTTTTAAATTACAAAAGTTCTGTAAAATAAATTCTGTAGTATGCTGAATGAGCTCTTGCAATTTTTGAAAGAATAAAGGTAATCAAACATTATATGTAAAATTAAAAATTGTCTAGTAAATCCAGTAAATTCTATATATTACTAATAGACTATCTCGTTACTACTGTATAGTTATAATAATGGAATTTCACAGTTGTTTTTACTGTAAATATTAACTATGGAAAATAAATAGGATCATATGATGAGTGTTCATAATACATGTCATCCTGTGTGACAATTTGGGCATTACTCAAAAGTTTGTAACCTGTTCTACTTTTTCAAAAAATTTTGATTTGCAGCTAGGAAGATTAGAAGAGTTTGCAACAAGGTTTAATTTAATTTTTACTACTATTAGGCCAGAATTCAGAATAAAACTACAAAAATTCTCAGATTTATCATCTGTTAGCTTAAGGATTGTGTTTCAGAATGAACAGAAATAAAAGAAAATTGTTCATAGCTTGTTTGCATGTTAAATCTGTCACAATAACAATTTATTTAGGTAATACAAGTGTTCTTTAATGAAATTAAGATTTATTTTAACTTCCTTATATGGTAATAATGTGTGAGAGCCTTGGCCTTCAATGACCCAAATGTATGTTCCCAAGTAATAGTAACAAATTTGTATCTTACAAATAAATACCTTGTATAATTTATAATAAAGCATATTCTTGGAAAGCAGAAACAAGCTATGAGATGTTATGAATACAAAAAATATTTATAAAATCAATACACACTGTGTATACTGCTTTATACAATATAATTTAACTTTACACTGCATAATGTAAGTTTTTTTAATAAAAATATATTACCTGAAATTTTATTCATACTACTAATTTTCACTTCTTCATGTACTGCATGTGTATTTTTCAATTCCCAAGCTAAAGAATGAAATAAATTTAGAATTATTAAAGATTGATTTTACATTTTTTATCAATTTTTGAGAGATTTAAAGTTTATTATATTGTAAACTAGAAGATGTTTAAGCTGTCTCTGAAAAGAATTATGTATATGTATAGCCTATATAAACCGTCATTCTGGTCAGTAATTTATAGTATTGTAGAAAACCTTAAATTATCAATAAAATAAAATCTTTACAACTGTTATTTGCATATAAATCAATGGAATAATGGTTGAAATTCAAGAACTAGAAAAAAAAATGATATAATCAACTTAATAATTATAAATTTCATATAATTATTTTTAAGTTTATGAGTTATTAGAAGTTTTGAATTCCTTTCTGTGTTGACATAAACAGATAACAAAATATATAAAGAATACTTTGTAATTTTTGAACAATTAATAAATCAATGATCTAGATTTCACTGACTTCTGATTGGCGGATGACACCGTTTTACGGTCGTATTTGCGTCGAAAGTTGAACACTGCTCAACTCGCTTTTACACTGGTTTTACGATCTGCTCGGGCATAAAATATCACGGTCACGTAATTAAAAGCTTTTACAACGAGGGGTTTTACGCCCGTTTTTACGCTAGCGGAGTCTTGGCCTTACATACATAAAGGTTGCCTATCCCTGTTCTATAACATGAATTATTTAATACAGAAGCCAAGGAACATGTAGAAGAAAAAGATAAATAAAATAAAATAAATTTTTATTTAACATTAATAGTTAAATATTTAACTAATACAAATAATTTAATTTCAACAAATATAATAATTAAAAACCATCACTCACCTTTTAGTTTTGCATCATATTCATTTTTCAGTTGATCATTACTTAGAGTTTTCCAGGCTTCATCAATTTTACAGAAATGTGAAACAGAATCTTCTACTTTTGTTTTGTCAGGATGATGCTGTAGTAATTTTAATAATTAACATACATAAATAAGCAAAACCATTTAAAAATACATAAGTATTGTAGCTTATAGTTAATTATTTCTTTAAAATTTATAAGGAATTAATTATATTTTGCTTTGCTACTCAGAAATAACACACTGTCTAATGGCCTTCATGACATTTAGTCAATCACATCACTTAATTGGATGGCATATAAAGTTATATTTGTTAGGGAAGTTCTTAATGTATAATCCAATTATCTATGGTAATTATTGCTATTTTTTATACTATTACAGAGAAAATCTTGAGTATAATCTGACAATTGTTCATTGCCTGTCACATTAGTTTAAATTAATAAGACTTTATCCTAAAAATATTAAAAATTACATAGAACAATTTCTCCTCTTTATAATATTAATGATTTAAGGGTAGTGAGCCTTTTATTTAATAGTATTATTAAATTTTACTGCATCCATACTTGTCTGGCTAGTTTGTAGAAAGACAAAACTGAAGTTTAATGCTCTTTTTGTCTTTGAAGTTGTCAATTATTCCATTATATTAAAGTTTCTGTAAGTAAAATCAAATTTACTGATATAAAGTTTAATTGGCACATGTGCAGCTCCAAACAAGGCAGTTGGGGCCCTATCAGAGCTGTTGATCATGCCCACAGGATTAAAAAAGTCAAAGGAACTTTTACATGACCCTTTGTAAGTTATAGCTCCCAAAATTGGCCTATTTGGAATTTTGAAGACCCTCAAAAAATGGGGTAAAATTTAAAAGTGAAAAAATCCAAAACTAGTTCTCAAAATTGCTAAAAGTCAATCATTTTCCACTTCATTAGAGATGGTTAAAAGTTCATATAAACAAGAAATGCCATTGCACCGACTACTTCCGAGGTGCAATTGGAGTCACAGTGCATGCTCCATTACATCCATCGCACCTTTAACAAGGCTAATTTTGGGAATAAATCAGAAAGGATCACATACAGTCCATCAGTACGACCTTTTCACTCCTAAGGGCACGTTCCACGACTCCGATAACATCCCGACTACCTCATTCCAAGCCGTATTTATACCTTCCATAATCTTACAACAAGACTTGCAAGTGAGAGAGAAGGAAGAACACTGCAATTCCAACTATTCATAAATTGTAAGGGTATGGGCTGGATTTAACTCCCAATCTTTACAACAATTGCAGATTGCAGTTGCAAATGATGCTGTTGGGACCTAATCAGAAACATAGAGCACGTCCATAAGAGCAGAAAAGTCAAAAGAACCAAACCTCTACACACAACCCTTCACGAGACACAGCCCTCCGAAATCAGCCTAAAGTCTACTTCTAGGTACTATGGAGAGCCATGCCACATGCTCTTTTAAGCCCATTGCACATTTACAGACAGTACAGCACGGTGATCGGACAATCAAACAATGTTTATCGGCAAAGAATAAAGAAAAGTGCGACATCCGACCCTTTGCGAGATATCTGCCTCCAAATGCAGAACCCATCACTGGCAGTTCCAGTCACAATCTTGTCGGCAGATATCACACCGGTAAGCAACTTACATTATATATATAGCATAACAAGTAATAAACGCATTAACTTCTACCAACCAAAAACTGTTTTTCCCCACGTACTGGTACCACTGCCTATTCTCCACGTTCCGTGTCGTCAAGGCTCGCACCTCAATGCCCGGGTGGTGCGAGCCACCATACCCCTAAAACTATACAAGTACTGCACAAACAGTCATTCGAAGCAGCATAGTCACGTGGGCTAAATAGTCGAACGCTATACTCTTAGTGGGGCATGGCACATGGCTGATTTCGGGGGCTATATCTCGACAAGGTCACATTCAGAGGTGCGATTCCTTTGACTTTTTTGCTCTTATGGACATGATCTATAGCTCTGTTAAAATCATTCACAGCTGTAATTGTACTGTGAAACATTTAAAGATCAGTATTCAAATCCAGTCCATACCCTTACAATTTATGAAGGTTTAACACGCAAGATGCTTGTTGATAACTGAATTACATAGTTTATTAATGAAGATCTCTTTTATTCACATTAAAAAAAAATAAAGAAAACTGGATTAATGTAAATTACATTAGCATTTCTCAAAAGCATGCCTAACCACGTGCTTCCGATGGATTTTAAAGGGTTAAATTAAATGGCTGTAATCTAGGACTAAATTTGCATTTATCAAATCAATTCTTAACAAATTGCAGTAAATATCTTAAATTTATAATATTTACTTTTAATATAAGAGAATGGTATTGTTTTTTAAGTTCTTCCTTGGTGGCATTCTTCGTCAAACCCAGAATCGCGTAAAAATCTACAAATTCGCCATCTTCCATAACAAACCACCAGACGATAAAATAGGCCGGGCGCCCTCTAACCGTCAAAACTAATTTACAAGTTACTCAAAATTAATAATAAAAGTTTACTAACAATATTTAAAATTAAATCGAAATGTAAAATAATACGATTAAAAAAGCTTCGACGATAAAGATAAAAATTTAATTTTACGATATTTTTCGTTTAAATGTAACCAAAAAGAATTGTTATAAACGCTNTTTAATTATTTAAAAATTTCAAGGCACCCTTGTCGCGTACTTGAGGCACCCTAAGGTGCTGCGGCACCCGTTTTGAGAACCACTGGTTTAAAGTGTAGAGCAGCGATTCCCAACCTGTGGTACGCGTACCCCTAGGGGTACGCGATAGGTTGTTTAGGGGTACAGAAAAAAGTTAGTTATTATAAAAGAAAAAATAATATATTATGTATCACAAACTAATAGTATTAAAAAATTATTAGGTAAAATATGTTCCTTGCAACAATCACAACTTTATTATACATTTTTTCTTTTAGGTTTCTTTTCTTTAATTTAAAGTTACAATATGTAAAATTAACAATACGGTTAGTCACTAAATTTCTTAAATGAGGGGTACAATCTAGAGATATGACATGTCACGGGGTACGCTAATGAAAAAAGGTTGGGAACCACTGGTGTAGAGCAAAGCCTGATCATGAGTGTGGATGTCATCTTCCAAGCAGATTAAATCATTTAAGAGAAAATAACTCCTTCTCTTTGTAATATGAATGGATTTTCTAAGACACATCGTTCTCACTGTTGGAAGTAGTGATGCACACTGGTTGAGAGATGGATATCGAGAATAGAAGCATGAAATATGCCTTCAGAATGACATCATATAAAGAAGTCCTTGATAAAAGAACATGTAACCCCAATAAAAAAGGGCATTACTGCATTAGCCAGTCTGGCCACCAAATCCAAACACATGTAGATGAAGCCTAACTACTACATGCAACCAGAATGCAATTGTCTCTCACACACTTGGAGAAGCTAAAAATATAAATAGCTTGTAAGAAATATATAACTATAAATTTCAAAGATAGCAACACCATCCCTCTAGCATGAAGATCTCTAATTGAAGTCCATCAATAAATATTACACAATGTCAACAACCAATCAGATGACCTCATCCTTTAAATTACAATATTTGATTAACCTATACCCCGTTTTCAAACACGACCATATTTAACCTGATAATGATAACTAAAGTAATTAAAAATGTTTGTTTTTCTCATCAAATAATTTTTTGTTTTATGCTGGAGTTTTTTGGTGTCTTTTTTTCATTCTTCTACATTGTTATCCAGTTTTTACACTGTTTATAAATTAGTTATATGCTTTCATTCCTTGGGATGATAAATATTTTGGTAAATATAAGTAAAGAAATATAAATATTTTACAATATAAACAGATTAAATTGATATTATGATAATAAAAATGTAAAAGAAATAGATATTTATGTACATGATTAATGATCAAGCTTACATCTGATTAACAAATATATAAAAACACACTATTGATTAGTTTGACATTCAATCAAATATATATTCATTCCATCTATAAAAATTTGTTTTCAGCTGTAACATGTATCAACAATTTTGACAGTTATTGTTCAATTTTATTCTATTAAAATGTAATAAAACAATATGTACTGTAAATTTTAAATATTTTGATATCCATTTTTAACATATTCAATTAATAAAAAATATCTCAAACTTTATAGCATATACAAAAAAAAAATGTCACAAGACAATTTATATCCTCTCTCCTGAGAATAATGCCTATAACAAAAGATTAAAATACAAATAACAAACAATGAAAATCAGTATTAACCTAAGTTATTAAAGTTGATTAATTTAATTAATTATTTAGCGTTTTGAATAAATACGAAACTCTTCGTTTGACCTTTAGAAATGAATAGAAAAAAAAAGTGGTAAATGTCGGCTGCGAATGTTTGGAAATTGATCGAACGAAAATCGCCTTAACGTTAAACAAATGAATTTAACGTAATTTATTGAAATAAATCGTTTGGTTTTTGTGTAAATATCATTTTTTTTCTTTACAAGAAGAGATTAAACAGGTACGACTCCATTTTCCTTTCTTTCTATGGAAAAACCTACTTAACACGTTAATTAAACGTTTTAATGACGTTTAATGACGATTCTTAATTGTAATTAGTTGCATATTAAACTAAATTAAATGTAAATCTTCACACTATGTAATGGAAATCGTCGGCTTACTCTATTGACTTAACAGAATAAACCTATTGTTTTTCTATTTATAATGGAATATACGATGCCATATGTCGTCGATTAGAGAATTTTGGATACAATAATGATTTACAGTTAAATAACGTAATAAAGTACTCGAAATTCTATCTGTTTCTCCAAAATTGTGCTTGGTAGAAGTTGATTTTGTATGTAAATGATTTGTACGTAAACACACGTATATGTTAAAATGTATCTTCTACCAGTACAGATGCGGTTCCGAAACGGGTGGTCGGGGTGCAATTATGCCTCTGGACGAGATGGTCGTGACCTTACCGGAACCGTAGACCACACCGGTGGGAGCGCTGGAGTTGAAGGAACGGTACCTCGGCTGGAAATGGCCCCCGAAATTGACTTCCTTCCGGGTCGCATTCTACTATTTAGTCCTTGCCGCTGTGCCGACTTTCCGCTCGACCGTTCTCTGAGTGCTCGATGTCGTGTAGCTTTTGTGGTGCGGGGCTCTTTCCGGTGTGGGTGCCGAGGTATGAGTGTCAAAGTGCCCGACTATGTGTGGAATGTCGGTCCGAATGAATGATGGCTGGCCTTGGCCGAATGAGAGCGTGAAGAATAGGCAATATAACAGTTTGAAATAAAAATTGAACTTTGAAGATGAATATCTTGCTGAGGATCACATTTATGGGTATGGTTTCTTGACTGTTTTGCTTGTATGAATCTTCAGTTTTGAGGTTGGAAAACCCCTCGTTTGGAGTTTGCATCGTATCGTGGTTGGTTGGGTTTTTATTTGAGCCGTAAACCGTATTCGTATGAATGAGACTGTTTGGACCTTATCGGAGCTATGGACCGTATCTGTAGGAATGAGGGGCCTTATTACAGCTATAAACTATGCCCACAGGACTCTTCTATAGAGCTCTGAATGAGGTTCAACTACCTCATTCAGAGCTGCTTTTGCATCCTTTCAACTTTCCTATTATGTGAGAATTATTATTATTTTATAATTAATTCTAAGACAATTTATGATGAGAGTTTTTCTTACTGCTGTAAAAAATTTGGAATTTATTAGGATTGAACTTATATTGTTTCTTTGTGGGTAGTTTGGGTAGAAATTGGCCAAATAAATGAATTGATGGTGATATCTGTCTTCCATTCTGACAGATTGAATCTAGGTTGAAGCTTTAGAATGTCGGGTATGTCTGGCATCGTTTCTCGCTGTCTGATTTCTTTGTGGGCTAGACTTATTCATAATGTCAAAATGTAATTTGTAGTACTTATATACTGTTTGATTGTATTTTTATAGGAGGACATTATTTGAATAGAGCTGCATTATTATTACCGATTCATCCTATGTGCAAACTGTAGGGTATCTCAAATGGGGTGCAAAAATACTTGTGGGTTACATAGAACTTTTCCTACTTCCAATAAAATTACATCCATTTATTTAAGTGCCAACCATTTGAAGCAAATGAACTAAAATTCAAACATTTTGTTCATATAAATCATAGAAGAAGGTATTAATATTGATATAGTTCTAAAGGAGGAGATATATAGTTTTTTCAACCCTGGTTTAACATATTCATATATTATAGATGCATAGAATTTGAAAATACAAAATGAAATTTAATTCAATTGCTTTAGGGATTATTTTTTCATTTTTAGGGAAAAATTCTAAAATATAACTACTGTATTTTACAAACTTCTCTATTTTTATATAAAACTAGCTGCAAGGACCCGCTTCGCTGGGCAAAAAGTAACGATAGTGAAGATTAAGATAATTACATTATAGCTAATCTTACCCGTTTTCACAGAATGCAAGAATTAGGTCCCCCGTTTCCAGACTAATTAGAGAATTTTTACATTTAGTCAAACGAACTATTTTCAACGTTTCTGGAACGTTTACAATCGTTCTATAATCGAACCAATTCAAATTTTATGTTCGAATTTAATTCGAACAAATTCGAAAAAATCGAACAAAACATTCGAAATAGAAAGCCACGTTCAACTACTTTCAGCCTCATATCTCCCGCACCCTTGTAGCTATCGAGACACAACCACCCCTATGCACGAATGGAGACTTGGGGCTACCACCACATACAAACACCATTCACGTGCGATGCATAGTTTTGGCGAAAAAGTGAAATATAGGGACATACATGTCCATTTTTATATATATATATAGATAAAATCTTTGATATTAATTAACAGTTTTAGGTAATTTGTTACAAGAAAGTTTTTTATTGACTTGATGACTAAGTGAAAACATGTCTCTTCAATTGACTGGATGTTTTCACTTACATTTAATGTAATATAATTGCTGAAAGTAAGTCATCTTTTTATTCTTTATCTGTGACCTAAAAAGTAAGGCTTGAAAATAAAATGGAAATGAAATAACTGAGAGAAGATAAGCCACTGAAATGTTGTTAGAATTTAAGTGTTGCTATTGGAAATAGTAGAAATGTGCAAATGAACAATGAAGTATTTTTAATACAATTAATGTAAGAAAGGTGGCCAACTAGGCAAATTTCCAGAAACCAAGCAGAATCAACTGTCGAGTTATAACAGTCAGTAATATGGTAACAAAACAAATTCTGTAGGCAACACAATGTTGCTACATATTGGCTGTTGTCAGCTTGTTTATTTGGTATATGGAAGTTGATGTCGTGTGATTGGTCCCTTATAACATATTTTATTCATTTTGAATCAGATAGCATTATTCAGGCTTTTCACTCAAAACCTTCGGGTGCTTAGATACACTGCACAAGCTATGTGGACAATATTTCAATAGGTTAATGAATAGTGTGATTTTATATACCCATCCAGTATTTTTTTAAAAAGGCTGATGTCATACAATTTTAATTTCATACACAAGTATACCTGTATTTTATAGATAATCTATTAAACTGTCGATAAATATAATGCAATTCTTTGTCTCAAAATTCTAAAATGTTGTCTAACCCTGTGTTTGCTGAGTGAATCTTTTTAACTAATTTTTGAGTTTATGGAGGAACCATTTTAGTAATTTTGTACTTGATGGAAAATATCAAATGGTTTTCATAATGTAATAAATTTTATATGACAAAGCGTTTTTGCATATTTCAGAAAAAATTTAATGTTAAAAGTAGAATGTAATTAATGTAATAAGTTTCTAATATATTTTCACAATGATATTAAAAGTACTAATAAATAGATACATGAGGTTTCTGCTAGATTAGGAAGGAAATATGAGTCCAAACAAGATCACAGTGTACTAATTTCTAGTGTAAACCAAAGTAATTGAAGTTTGTATGTATAGCCATTTTGATATATATAAAAGTCTGGAAGTCTTTCTGGAATGTAGTGAAGATACACTGTTAATCATCTGTTATATATTGGATTACCTACTATTGGTCAGCAGTTTTCGGACGTTTCAAAGTTATATCTGTATCGATGCCATCCGAGAAGCCATTAACTTGAAGACTCGTCTAAGGTTGGCGAAAATGGATGGCAAAATAAAGACGACAACGAACATCAATCACGGGCTTAGTCCATTATTGGCTCCAGGCAAGATGGTTGGTGAAGCTAATTCATGATTATCATTTAATTTTGTTTTTTGTGTGCATTGGTTTTAATTTGAACACAGTTTTTGTAACATTTGTGGTATATTCCAGAATGTATTGTTATTGAAACTGTCTTTAAGCATTATAATGTCAAGTATACAAAATATCTTACAAAATAGCTAATTTCAAAACTATAGTGTCAGAACTTTTATTCTGACAATACTGCTATAATATTTTAAGGAAACCTTAAAATACTCAATTACTCTTTTTTCATAATCATTTATTTAGTTTCAATGAAAACTAAATAAATGATTATGAAAAAAGAGTAATTGATAGTGCTAACAGATTTTGATTGTATTTAGGAGAACACACATTTTTCTGTCGTATATTATTTTGTCTTAATTTTTATTTGAAATAAATTTTCTTTGAAATCAGTTATTTAATTTTTGGCAATCTAAATTTGTGGTTGCTTTTTGAATTTCAGAACTTTTTTTAGAATGATGAATGTTTGCAGTGCTTTGAAGCAATTATTGTGTTTGTTTGTGTGTGTGTGTGTATGTATGTATATATGTATATATATGCATACACACAATTGCTCCAAAGATATGTAAAGTTCTATATTTATTCACAGATTTATATATCTATATCTATATATCTATATAAAAATGGACATGTATGTCCATATATTTCACTTTTCCGCAAAAACTACACATCGCACGTGAATGGTGTTTGTATGTGGTAGTAGCCCCAAGTCTCCATTCGTGCACTATGGTGGTTGCGTCTTGATAGCTATAAGGGTGTGGGAGATATGGGCTTGAAAGTGGTTGAAAGTGGAAGATTTTCTATTTCAATTTTAAAAATTTTCGAATTCGAATTGGTTCAATTATAGAACGATTGTAAACGTTTCAGAAAATTGATCAAATTGAAAATAGTTCGTTTGACTGGACGTAAAAATTCTCTAATTAGTCTGGAAACGGGGGACCTAATTCTTGCATATGGGTTGAAAGTGATTGACTTTGAAGATGTGTAACAATGGAAGTGTCAACAGTGGAAGTGTTGAGTAACAAAGGAATATAAAGCGGCATGCAAGATTTACAGGCGGTCTTTTGCGTTTTTGCGGGAAATCGAACATATTTTTAGACTCGTAAAAATTCTCTAATTAGTCTGGAAACGGGGAACCTAATTCTTGTATTCTGTGAAAACGGGTAAGATTGGATATAATGTAATTATCTTAATCTTCACTATCGTTACTTTTTGCCCAGCAAAGCAGGTCCTTGCAGCTAGATTCTAGATTACTTAGAAAAACAGTCTTTTATATATAT